CTTTCTCTTGTTTCTGCCTCATTTGCAAGTTTATGAGAGAAACTCTCACATGGTTTTAATTTAAAACCATGTGAGAGTTTCTAGGGATGTCCCAATCCAGATCTTTGGCTCCCGATACAATCCGATTTTTTAAATGATTTGTCTTTCTGATACCGATCCAATAATTTTATTTCTTTATTTCTTTCCAAGTGACAAGTTGGTAGTATTAAAGCGTGCCCTGCTGTTCCCACCACGAGAAACATCCAGTTTGTAGATTTTGCAAGATGCAGTTTCAGCATCACTGTTTTCCATTGAAAAGTGTTCCCACACTGTGGACATGGTTGCGTACTTGTGTACGTCTTGACTTCTTAACAGCAGTTGTAATGCATGATGATGCTGAAAACTGTCACAAAAACTGGATCGGCCCGATCACATGAATAAATCCGATTCTACCCGATTTTCAAAAAATGACCATATCTGCCACCAATACTGAGTATCTGACCGGGACATCCCTAGTTTTAATCACTATAGAAAAAAAAAGTTTCCACCAGTGTAGAGTTTTCCTCACATCAACCAATGACGTGCACACAAACAGACACATATAGACTACAAAGCTGTTCTTCAGCAAGTTCATAAACATGTCACCTAAAGTGCCTCGTCTAAGTTAATACTTACACCTTCAATTTGGAGTCAATTTAATGACACTTGCTGGACTTTAAATAAATGTGCCGCCCCTCGCTAAGTGATTGCTGGATATGAGCACCGGTGACTCCGGTGAAGGAAAGGAAGAAGCAGATAAAGATGACGGATATAAATGTAAGCTCATTTGTTTAGGTTTTAAATGTTGTTTTAGATGTTGTTTATGCATACAGCTGCATATCTTTTTTAAGCAAATCATTTTAGTACATTTTTTACTAATATTAGGCTTTTCATATTTCTCAATCTTTCTCATTATGCCTTAATAACGTTTTCATAAAAATCAAGGCTGCCATAAAAGCACAGAGAAACTACTTGTTTTCAAGCCTTGTGTGGTGAACGTTGAAAACAGGACAGTGTTGAAAAGTGGTGATCATCTCTGAATCAGGTTGCTGTCAAAATGTTTTGACATACATCACATAGTGTGTTGTGGTCTTTAAAAATGATTATTGAAATCAACTGCATCTGTGTCTGAGAGTAAGAATGTGGCCCACCACAAGATATGGCTTTAAGCTACAGTATAAGGTAATGCCTTTATAAGGAGTTTCTTCCATATACAGGCAGGAAACCTGGACAGGGAGAAACAGACAGAAAGGAGATGAGCTGATGAGGCAAGGCGACAAGAATATGGAGCATTGGGGAGAATGCATGAAAGACAGATGCGAGTACTCTGCAGGCACATTAACGTGTCAGCGGAGGACAGGAAGACAGGTGAAGGCGGGACAGAGTCAACTCGAGTAAAGTCGGGTTGTCACACACTTCACCCTGAGGAGCACTGCTTTGGATCAGACAGGCCCACCATTAACCTCTACTGACACTGTTTAGACAGAGGAGGGGGGAAAAACTGACTAAAAAATCAGAAAAAAATCCATGACTTTAGCAACACAGGCAGTAATTGGTAAAGACTGCAGGCCCCTTCATGACTTTGAGTCCAGACAACACTGGAACAGATCATTGGGAATACCAGTGAGGGGGGATGGGATGCAGACCCTTCTGATTTCACAAAAAAATATGAAACTGGTTATTTTAATATTTATTTTATTCATCCATTCATTTTCTTTACCTGCTTTTCCATGTAGGGTAGTGGGAAAAATGGTGTCTATCTCCAGCGGTCACTGTGCAAGGAGCTGAGCAATGAGACAAACAAACCACTCACACAGATTAGAGTTAATAATTATCCTAACGTGCTTGTTAAAGAAAGAAAAAATGTACTTGGAAAACATTAGTAAAAGAAAAGTCTTGTTTTTTTTTTTTTTGATTGTTGATGAACTCATACTGTATGTTAAAATAGCTCCTAAACTCAAAGGATGACCACGTGTTATGTCAACACATAAAAGACAACTTAGCTATAAAAGCTACCAAAGGTGACACAGTTTGACAATAATAATAATAATAATAATAATAATAATAATAATAATAATAATAATAATAATAATAATAATAATAATAAAATTATTTAATTTTTAATTTTTAAAAAGGTATATTAGTTCTAACAAGGTGATTTCCAAAAAGCTATTAGCTGAAATCTTGGCATACAGGCGATGATGCATCTCTCTGGTCTTGTTTCAGGTTGTTGCTTATACTTTGTATATATTTTTCCATGTTTTAAATACACGGCTTCTACTGTTCAGCTGCTTTTGACACTCCTTTTTGAAATAGGATAATTCTTCTTCTTTCATCCTCCATCCATCCACTTTACTTTTTTTTTACGCACAAACCACAAAATCTGCTGTCATGGTCGGCTACAGAGACTGAAAATGAGGTGAAAAAAGGACAAATTCCAACCAAAAACTTCAGACAACCTGAAGAACTATTGATCAAGATACTTTAAAGTATACGAATAAGTCTGACTCTTTGAAAACCAAGTTTGAAAAGCATTTGAGGCATTTCAAAAGTTTAGCCAAGCACTGTAGAGATTTGATACTAAAATATTGGGCAATTATCATCAACTCCCTAAAATCAACTCAAAAATAGTATTCTTTTTGCCTGACATCGGTATTGTTTTCTTTAAATTGCATTTGTAGTCTGTAGCTTGTTCCAAATGCCGCTCATTAAACTGAGCGAGTGTTCAGAACCTGTTGAACTTWACAAATCAGAATGCACTTGAAAAGTAAGTGCAGGACTTTTATTTATATCACGAGCCTTGTACTGTACGGTCACACTGATCGCACAGACGAACCCTTTCTGCAGATGACACACTTGAGTTCAGTCAGCCAGAGGGAATGTACTCTGCAAATCAAAAGACATTAACCAATTAGCTCTGATCAATAATCACAGTCACACAGGGATGAGCCAGACTCGGAGTGCTGTTAATGTGTGCCTCTGGGCCAGGAGGCAGGCTGCGGATACTGTTCCTCTCAGCTCTCCGCCAATAAAAATGTTGGAAATACTGTTGACATGCCGCAGCTCTCCAATGCAAAGTGGCTCAGCTGCTGTAGCCAGGCAGAACGGGCTGAGAGGGGAAATTCAAGTTGTAGAGAGAGAGAGATAGCGAGAGAGAGAGAGGGAGAGAGAGAGAGAGAGGCATAAAGAAGAGATGTGTGAGGAATGAAAGAATTGGAGAGTGTATGTGCTAGGCTGTGAAAGCAGGTGTTATAGTGGGTCGCAGTGAGCAGCAGGTAATCTCACTGAGATAAGGAGGAGCATGACAGCCAGCCTTTAATTCCTCATGAGAGGTGGCACTGTGGTGTTATCACCGAGCTGCTCCCAGATCCTTTTTGGAAATAGATTTATAAAAAGCAGTGATGGTACAGGGTGGACAGAAGAAGCATTTTGATGAGGCTGGCGAAGAGGAGACAAATTCAGCACTGGTGTTCAGCATATTTTATCCATGGGCATACACAGATCACACCATGCCGCTCTGCAGTTAGGATGAGGAGTGTAAATATCAGCACGGAGCTCAGGGTGCAAGAGCGACTGAAGTGAAAGGAGGAGAATAACAATCGAGAGGAGAGGAAGAAAAGAGGAGGAAACATCTAAGATATTACACCTATCTAAAGGGGGTGTTTGAAGGAGTAGGCATTATGAGAGTGGAAATTACACTTTGTCCTCGTCCCCTCAGGCCACCGGCTGGTGGATGAATATAATCACCCACAGCTGCAAGCATCCACACACACACACACACACACACACACACACA